ATCGGGTTTACTTTTTTAATGCGACCGTTGCGATGCTTTGCTGGCTTCTTTTGATTTTTGACCATTTTTTGTATGTGTTCGGATTTTTGACTTTTCACAACACGAATTATCGCAGTGGGACCTCTACCGAAAACCTCTACGGAATCTGACAGCGCATGTAGCAACTCCTCGAGTGTATCGTAACCGAACCGACCAAATGGTATATGCTTACCTTCCATGCGCCTAAAATCGCGACGTAATTTGTCCAGTGTAATTTCTTCAGGAGATGAAATTATCAGCGCCCTTATTATTTGTTTTACAGTGCTTAAGCTGTCTACTTCCATTTCGACGCAATATTATTGTTTAATTTTTAAATTTTTCCAAATGTAAATTGCTGGACGGAATGTTTAATGGAGCTGCATAGAAAGAACTTTCGAGAAATTTTACAACAAAGACAGCAGCAATTCTCTAATACTGTCAAATAATACATCGATAACAGCCTTTGCTTGCTTTTCGAGTGAAGACAAAAAATCGATATAATGGGTCAGCCTGAAAAATTGTTACGTATTTGCAAAAATGTTGATCACTTTTTCTCTTGAAAGAGGCATATATTGTAGAAAATTGGTACAATATATATTAATCAAAATAATTTTCGGCGGTCCATCAACTAAACCATTTTCGCGCTTCTTGAACTTTGCGGTCCTGCGTGGCAGCCAAGCCATGCTGCACCGAACGAGTGAACGAGTAGTAATTAGGAAGCGCTATGTCTGTTGACTACATTGGTGTAGCAGAACAGTGTATGCTGAACGATTTTTGCAACAAGTGACCAAAAAAATGGTATCTTCAGTCAACTCGTGTCGCCATTTTTGAACCGTTAAACACAAAACCAATAAGTGAGTTATGATGGAGCAACATAACCATAAGTCTCTGAACATGTTTGGTGGTCTTCCACAGCAGATTTCTTCAAGTAAACAAAAAAAGTGATGATTTTGAATAAAGAATGTTGAGCGCTTTACGATTAGCGTCAGCGTATGCTGCATAAATCAATAATATGAAATGCAAAACTGTTGTCTTCTCTGCAGGAAAGTCAAAAACATCAAATTCAACCGTTACGTACACTGGTGTTTCCTGTTTCTTTATCACTTTTACCTGTAGAAGACATTGATCAAAATTTTTACAAACACCTAATATTATCTTTTTTATTTGCAAATCGAAAATCTACCACAAAATTAACAAGTTTTAATTAATTAAAAAAGACAGACCTAGGTTCGCTAAACAATCTCATTATGAAACTATAGCGAAAATACAATTGAAATTGCGATACCTTGTATAGTCGTTTGTATCTATTTGGTTATTTTATAAAATATATATCATCTCACCATATTTAACCTTAGGCTGAAAACACGATGAAACCTCTTTTATATTTTTACGTCTGCATATGACATTTAGTCTTATAAATTATATAAATTTATACACTTATATAACATTTATATATTACATTTATCCCATTTTACTAAGAATTTTTAAATTGAATGCTTAGAGGGCTAAGACAATGAGGCATCATTTCTATTATCGCGTTAAAAGCTCCTAAGTGGTAAAACACAATATACAGCCAGCCGCACTACTGTAGATTTTCACAGGAAAATGTAAACAAAAACATATGGTTTTAGAAACAAAAACAAAGAAATCAACGTAAACATAGACGACAAAGTCGTGAAAAATGAGAAAGAAGAAGTTGACATAAAAGAAAATAAGCTTGTTTATCGATTACTGATAGAGAAAATTGGTTAGATACATGTAGATGAATATATTAGGCACACATTTGTGCGATAATTGGTCCATACTTGAGCAGGTACCGCTTAATACTTTAACACTCTGAACATAAATGATCTTTATTGTTTGTTTTTCATTCCTTACAAGTCATGCACGGTATAAATCAAAATTGCAATTGCTTAATATAAAAAATGTACATTCGTCTAATATATAAGTAAAATAAATAAATAAAACAGTTTATAAATTTTAAGTAAATTGCTTTTATTTCTTGTCGTGCGTTGCTTTCTTCTTTTTTTTTATGTTATTTATATATATATATACACATACATAATCATATGATTTGTCAATTGCCATAAAGTTTTGTAAAAAGTTAGCAAAGCTGAAGTCCCAACTCGAATGTAGGAGTAACGTCTTTTTGTGTCAGCCGTCTTTGGGCTGCGATACAATCACTGTTGACACAATGAAGGTTCGCTTACATTCCCATGGCTGGCGGAGTCAATGAAAATGAACGAAAGCAACGGAAGCGATTAATTTTCAATTCAGAATATATTTGTCAAATTGTGTTTTTAAAGTGTATTATGTTAATGCGAAATTTTCAAATAATACATTAATTAATAATAGTAAGTAGCGTCCCATGACGTCAAAAACTTTTTTAATTCTGCTTTTTCTTAATCGATATCAAAATGCTTATCTGTGCATGGATAAGGACGCCTAAGAATTTTCTGATTTGATAAAGATATTGATAGGTAAATCCCATATTTAATGATGTGAGTTTGCACGAAAACTAGTCGATTTTCTAAGAAATCAAATTCCAAAAAATTGTAGACTCAAATACACATGTATGATGATTTACCTGCCGCGTACGACAACAACTCGCAGAATATTTCGGGGAAAGGGGGATTACGACAAAAATAACACAATAAAGTTTGGTACCGCTAATCTACGTACCTACCTAGCAAAAGGGTATAAAATTTCAAATACTCTGTGGCTACGGTCGGAAAATAGACTCTTTAATATCTTTCTATATAATAGTATTTTTGTTTAGTATAGGGAGTGCCCTGATTATTATGGTTCAGATTGCTTCAACGAACAAATTCAAAAAATTCGTCTTATTATGATACCCTGTAAAACGTTTTCAAGGCCCTTCTATCATCAGATTTTATTTACTTCCTTCTCTTTGAATTTGCAGACAAGTCTAACGAAATTGTTATTACCTGGTCTACGCGCAATGCTACAAATCAAACAGTGGTTTTTTATCGCAACAACGTTGATAAATCCCATAAATGGTTGACCGCCCAAGGTTTTGCCAAACAGTTTGTTGATGGAGGGCCGAAAAAATCTAAACAATGTATCCATAAGGTAGTGTTAAGAAATTTGAAATGGAACACCTCTTATGAATACATATGCGGTAGCGATTTGGGTTGGTCAGCACGCTTTTATTTAAAAACAGTACCTCAAGGCAGTGAATGGTCACCTAGATTAGCTATATACGGCGATATGGGTAATGAAAATGCCCAATCTATGGCACGTCTACAACAAGATACTCAGCAGGGTATCTATGATGCAATTATACATGTAGGTGATTTTGCCTATGACTTCGATACGGATAATGCTGAAGTGGGTGATGCTTTTATGCAACAAATTGAGGCCATAGCCGCCTACGTACCGTATATGGTGTGTCCGGGAAATCATGAGGAGAAATAGTAAAAAAGTTTATGAAAAGTGATTTTATATAGTATATGCTTGCATTTTTTTGCAGCAACTTTTCAAATTACAAAGCACGTTTCAATATGCCCGGCGATCATGATAGTCTATGGTACAGCTTCAATTTGGGTCCAATACATTTCATCAGTTTTTCAACCGAAGTCTATTATTATCTGAATTACGGTCTTAAACTGTTAACTAGACAGTTCGAATGGCTGGAAAATGATCTAAAACAAGCTAACAGTCCGGAGAATCGAGCCAAACACCCGTGGATTATTACTTACGGCCACCGGCCCATGTACTGCAGCGATGATAAGGAATACGATTGTAATACCGAATTGGAAACATTTATACGTCAAGGCTTGCCGCCTTTCAAAGTGTTCGGCTTGGAACAGTTGTTCTACAAGTACGGAGTTGATGTGGAATTTTTTGCTCATGAACATTTCTATACACGTTTATGGCCGATGTATGATTTTAAAGTGCACAATACCTCTTATATAAATGCTACGGCACCCATACAAATAATAACTGGTTCAGCTGGCAATAAAGAGAATCGCGAACCATTTTCGAAAGAATTACCTGAATGGAATGCATTTCATAGCAACGCAAGTAGAAATGTTGAACTAGGAAAAACATAATTGAATAACGATTTGCTTTCTTTTTTTTTTTTTTGTTTTTTCCTCTTTTAATTTCAGGACTACGGCTATACCCGTTTGAAAGCATACAATGTCACGCATTTGTATATTGAGCAAGTTTCCGATGATCAGAACGGCGCCATAATTGACAAGGTCTGGATAATTAAATATCAGCATGGTGCCTACACTGCCGACGCTAGCCATGCATAAATAAAACGAAAGTGTAAATAAAACAATTTCAATCGGTTATATTCCTTCAAAAAGTCACCTCATTATCTCTCCTTATATTCAAGACGATTTTTGTTTCATTTCTTTTGAATTGATTTGACTTCCACTACATACTTTTATAGTAATTATTATACGAAGACTACTGCATTTGACATTTTCGTTCCGAATATCATTTCTACAGGCTGTTATTTTCGGTTTTGCGTCCCTTTGTCTTACGCGTGTTTGTCTAATTAGTTTGTGGGCAAATTTTTTAAATTCTATCTCTCTCGACATGCTTAGTGCATTCGAGCGTATTGCACATATCATTGTACTGTCCGTTTTTCGTGGTTAATCCGAAGGCAAGAGTGACTATGTCGCGTAAAGTAAAGCTGAAGGCTTTATAGTCTAACTCTAAGCTCCACGGAGGTCAAGAGTCGATTCACTATGTCACGAGTACGTGACAGCATTGGTCTACTGCAGATTGTTACTTGCCAAGATCCTTCGGGAGGAAGCTTACATATTTACATTCATATGGAAACCGCGCTGGAAGTATGTCCAGTATGTCCCTTGGGCGAGTATCGTGATGGTCGAGTTTCTATCATTCCTAAAACGAATAATTAGAGGTAACGATAGGCCTCAACACTTACCAAAGTGGGTTTATTGAGCTATACACCATAAACATATCTGCTTTCTCCAGTGTAGTTCAGGCTACTAGCTTATAAGGATTGTGTAACCCTCTGGAGGGCGCCGGTTACGCAAAATTGTCATTGGGCACCGTGAGGTTAAACCGACTCGGTGGATCTCAAGTTGAGCTTTAGTCACATTTTTCAACCAAAGTGTCAATTTCCTTATTAAATGAAAGACGTCGACATAGTCGTCCTTTGTCCAGTGAGAATACAATGTCCACGTGCATTGTGTTGACTGGTTCTTTATTTCTGCAGCTTTATCTGCAGATTCTATTCCATATCGAGTTTCAGATTGTGTGGGACCTAAAACAAAGTTTCACCAGAGACTTTTCTTATTTCTTCTTTCATCGTTTCTGATACCACGGGTGCCATAAGCCCCCGAAGCAATCTTCCAGCTTCGGTCTGGCAGCGGGAACGGCCCATTGTATAAGTTTCATGATGGCTACGGTTGGCCCAAATTGCGGGAAGAGCATTTTCCCAGCGTAGAGTTGCATTGCAACCAGAGATCTGATTTATTTTACCTATTGCCCACCGGCGCTCGGGAACTAATCATCTTGGGGCGTTAAGTATGCATTTTCACGCTTCGTATGCTATCAAGGATTATTCATATGAGTTATATTTGAATAATGAAAAGATATAATTTTTCAATATTGTTCTGAAAATGCAAATCTTTTGATATGTATAAAGAACACAGACGATCTTGTATACGGATGGATCGTTTGAGACTGTTAGTGTATGCTGTTGTCCACGATATTGGCTGCCGCCGTATCCGTTATGACTTATAACTTAGATCTGCGCGGAAGGACGTTAATCTGTTCACACAGCCTTAGCGTCATCACAGCAATATGATTCAATCGCAAAGGTGCTTTTGATCATGTATTATGCCCAGGATGCAGATTCCCTCTCATATTAGGGTTGATGGTAAAAAGCGAGCAATTGAAATTGCCAAGCGTGCCCTCTATCAGTGTCATATATCTGAACCGTCCTGTCTTCCTCACACAATCACTTCACCGTACAGGCCCACTAGAACCGTTAGTAGTCTCCACCATTAGAATCGCAAATATATTAGAGATTTAAGAAAGTTTAAAGGACGGCACGGAAACACATCAAATCCTGAATAATTTGGATACTTATAGAATTTAAACCCATGTGGAATTTTATGAAATAACTGCAATTAAAAATATTCAATAGTATTTTAAATACATTTTTATAGATGTTGCTATTTTTTTTAGGTAGCATTAATTGATGATTTACACTGTTATCAGCGATTTCAGTCATTATCGTAATTTCTAATATAAAATGAAATCAATAAAAAATTTGAATTGCGTGTTATTTTGAAATTAAATCAAGAAAAGATCTTAATATCAATGAAATCAAATCCACAGCCACTAAAGTAGTTTTAGTTTTCATTCTTTTTCTAGTAATAATAGAAATATTTTATCCATCAAAATTTATTATGTCTCCTTCCTTTGTTTAGTGTTTCAAAACAGTTTTCTTACACAACCAATAGTTTTAGTGAAATCCATTAATTTTTCATATGCATATGACTTTCTAATGCAAAATCCAATCACCACCAATCCATGGGCAATCATTTTGCAATTTTGTATACAAACCGGGACAATCTTATGCAAAACAATTTTAAATTATTAATTTTGCTGTTGGCAATAATTGCACTTTTCAATCAATTGGCAGTTCTGTTGCTGAAAAACACATGTTGTTCGATTATTTTGTTTTTTATTATCGCAATTTGTGATAAAATTCTGCTTATTCTTTGATAATTTGACTAGTAGCATAGTATTGGCTGGCGTTGTTTTTGTATTTGTTTATTTTTATGAAATCAACCAGAAGATTAGAAAAACAGTTTAGGAAAAATATATTTTAACGTTTATTAATGGCAAATATTTAAATTAACTTGTATAAGGGCAAAGAAATAATAATCACTTTTGTTTCAGATGCTTCAACGCGAATATGATAAAATGCACGATTTGGAAGCAAATAGAGATAGCGTTAATTTTCTTATTAAAAAATTATGCTTAAGTGTTTTACAAGAGTATCCATTAACAACAGATGAGATAGTCGTCGCTCTACCTAAACTAAAAGCATTAGCGTATGAAATTTTACTGAAAAAAACGGCACGATCCTATGTGGAAGAAAATGAAAATTTCGAACCTCAACGGGCTTTGGATATACAAATATTCGCTGCGAAATTGTATGGTCGTGGTAGGCCAGGAACTTGTAGTAAATTTAAAGACTTTCAAGAATATGTGAAAATCGTCGAAAATGAAAAATATTTCCAAGAAGATAGCGGTAAAGGAATATTGCAATTTTTATTGGCACTGCAGGGACACATTGTCGAAGAATCTAAGAGGGTACGTAAACATCATGATACGATTTGACGTTTAAGTAAAATTAAAGTGTTTAATAGCTCAACATGGATTGCTCGAAGTTATTAATACCTGGGCCTTTTACACTACATGCTAACTATCAACAAAATTCCTACTATCCGCTATTTGATGTCTGTAACATAATGGAACCCACTCCTAAATACTTTCAATCGTTGAGTGACCTAAAATCGAAAACAAATCCTTATCTGCCGAAATTTTTGTTTGCGGGTGAAAAAAATCAATTGGAAAATCTTTTTAAAAAGTTTGACGAAGGAAATTATGCACAATATAAAAAAGCGGACTGCACATTTACTGGTTTAACAAGGCGATTGCTCGGAACATGTTTAGGTGTAAATCTGAAAGCTTTTCCTTTGCCAGCAGCCAATAGAAAACAATCAAAAATGATCAGCCCCAAGGGCAAATCTTTGTTATATGAAGAAAGAGATCTCAGAGAAAAACCTCAAGAACTGAAACGAGTGTTTTCTTGGAACTGGGAGGCCTTAGGCTGTTTTGGCGTTGTTTGTTCAAAACCATTTGCGGGAGAAGCTAACGTAACCCTACTCCTGCAATCTTACATCAATCAGCAGGAGAGAAAAGAATTTAAAGCCAGAATTTTAACAATGTCACAATTTTTAAAAGACTTAAAGTCGCTCACAGGTAAAATAAATACTTTTTCGTTTATAAAATAATTCATCCTTTGAAATAGTAAATAATACTTTAAAAAATTTAACTTTCTTTTCAAAATATTCCTAAGTGCAGTCGGTATACAATCGGATACATTTCAACACGACGAATTAATAATATTCTCAATGCAGCCGCACGTTACTCTGGAGGGCATTTTACCCGCAACTTTATTACATTTTGTAGAAGATTTTCTAGAGTGCGGCACATGCTATAAACGTCTGCAAACTATGATTATGAAAAGGAATTATAAATTAATGTTTGAAGGATTTATATTTAAAGTAAGTTTTCTATTTATTTCTTTTCCTACATAAGACGGAGCCGTCTACAAACTTCAAGTCATCATTAGTTTTCATCTAAATTTTGAATATTGCTTGAAAAAGAATTATTTCCGAGTTCAAATATAATCATATCGTTTTTACCTGTGGTACGAATGGAACTCGGATCGGGAATTGTACAAATTGAAACGAAAGTGTGTATAAACAAAATTTTTAAAAAAAGCTTATCTCGACACCATACTATCCGGGATCTGTCAAGGATTTCATTCAGTGTAGTAAGTTGCCCTAGAAACGTGTACCGATTATAAATAACATTTCTAATCAACTTCCAAACAAATAAAATTTGCCTTGAAATTCAATCTCTTAAACACCGAATTTTAAGAAATTTAACATAAATATTCAAGAATTTTCAAGGCACTAAAGACACGAATTTGATCGTGCGTGATTTTCGTGATCACCTCCCTATTCTACCATATTCTATACCATAAGCTTTATAGTGCTTAAATGCTTACGCAGATGTTTCAATCTGCTTGCAGCAGGCAGTTAGCTAGTTCAGACTGCGGCCTAATATCGGCTTTGGGAAGACATCTACAGCTAAATGAAATAAGGACCATTGCTAGAAACTCCAACTCTGGCTTCGTAAATACTAAAATTGACATCAGGGGGAATAAAATTCGATTTTTCGTTATGAGGGATCTCTTAAATGGCGTAGCAGTTTCCCATCTCCCGAGAACTGTCGTCTACAGTCCAAATATTCCCCTTATTTGTCGCGCTTATCAGCACAATCAAATAGACGTTATCATTGGTTTTGATGTTGGACGATGTTTAAACAAGATTTAAATCCCAAGTCTAAAAATTCTAAAAATCACAGCTAATGACGTTTATGTTAAAGGAACTGGCATTCACACTGTCGGATAGTAGACCGTTAATAATCACCGACTGTTGCATTTGAATGTATTTCGCAGGCCCTATGCAGTGCGATCGATGAGTATCTATTAACCTTTCGTCAGTACGTCTTCAGCAAAAAGGATGAACATTTAATGGAGTTTTACAAACGTATGAAAAGGATGATGAAGCAATTAATAAATCTTTCTTACACGCTGGCCATACATCCAAATGGTAAGCGTAATATGCCGTTAATATACATAGTCAAATTTTTTCCAAACGTTTTTCTCGCCTCAAAAGTCGACATCAATACTAAACCTCCTATGGGATCAAAGTTCTTAGGTTATCTCTATTGTGAAATAATGCGTCTAACTGAGAAGGACTACATTACTTTATTGATTTTCATTTTGAAGCGCTGTTGCCACGTTTATTTCAAGTATGTCTTACATTCGCATTATACGGACTATGTTCTTAACTAATTTTAATTTTTGTTTCTCTTTTTAATTTCATACAATTGTAAGACATTTACAGAAATGGATTTATTATGGCCTTTTAGATGATCCCTGCAATGAATTATTTATTAATTTTGTTGATCATTATCGTCAAAATACGAAATACTTTTACGATAAAGCCTACTTCGTACGTAAAGAATCTATACCGGGTTTCTTTCAAAACTACGAGGACGAAATATTGCAATGTGGAAAATATACTATGCTTTTGAAAGCCTACAAGCCAAACGTAAGTGATGTAATCAAATGAAAGGCAGACAGATAAAAAGCTTAAACTGAAATTGTAGTCCGTAATGAATACGTTTTAATGGTAAACGTCCTTTGTCATATTTTGCAGCATCCCATTTTTGATTTGGAATATCCAGGCATTTCTGTTTGTTTGTCGTTCGATGAAATTCAGGAATTGGAATTGGTATGCATTCGGTACCGTGAGAATGCTCGACGAGTATGTGCAAATCCCGTAACTATACGTGAGATATTTGAAAGAAAAGCTGCAAAGAAACGTGAACTCTTCCAACGTATGGCAGAAAGATCCAAAGCTAACTTGGACCGTTGGACGGAAGAACAACAAGAGATAGCTCTCATTATCGCGAAAAAGAAAAAGAAACGTTTACAAGAGTTGACAAATCAATTGCAGGACGCTAAGCAGAGGAAAGTACAAGAACGTAAAGTAAATGTTGAGCTTCAACTACGTTATTTACACGAAGCAGAGAAATTGCAGGAGCAGCGTTTACTTGGGGAAAATATAAATTTACGTAAACGTATTGAATACTATCAGGAACTTAGTGATATGATGAAGGATGAAGGCAAAGTGATCGCAATTTCAACAGTGGACGCAACGCCAAATCTTACAACTTTGCAACTATTGAATGATAACGAAACACCACGTGGCCCACCGTTAGCGACTCCAAGCAGTACGGGTACGCCTGGGACGGACTTTCAATCGTGCTTTGATGAAGATGACGAACAAATTAATGATGATGATTGCGATTCCGAATATGAAGAATGCATATCGGATGACTTCGTTGAGAAATTTGCTGATTGCGAAAAACATTTGGCAGCTCTCTACGATATCAATGAAGAAGACGAGGAGAATGCCAACGATTTACTAAATCAAGCATCGGCAACCACCCTAGTGCCTTTCACAAAAGAAAACGAAAAAGGCTATGTCAATCTCGAAGAACCGACTACAGGCATAACCCGTACTGTCTCAGACGTATTAAATTGTAATGAATTGCCAGGATCTTTCTTAACAGACGCTCAACAAAATCGTTTAAAAGCTTTGGACGGCACTAATTTGAGCCAATGTATAGTACAAATAGAAACGAATAACGATTCTTATTTGTTAGGTTATGGTAAACATATGTTAATTGTTTGTTTAAGGAAAGACTTATCATTTTAGATAATTTTACAGGTTCTCGCTTAAATCTAAGCGAAGCTCAACGAAACCGCTTAAAAGTTCTCGATTCCGAATTTGGTATGCTGTCGATGGAGAAAATGACGCCCGATATTAATCTAAATAACTTGCCGGAATGTGAGTTAACCGATTTGCAACGTAATCGGCGTCGCATGATGCAAACTGATTTATTTAGTGAATACAATAAAGATCCGTTGGAAGCCCGTACAAATCTCTTTTTTAATTTGAATACGGAGCGAGCACGTAATCGCCAGAAGATTTTGGCAAGCGAATTCGACATCCAAACTGGTATTCCATTCGTAGAGGGAAGTTCGTCATCTCTAATATGTGAATCAATTACCTCGCCCATGTCTACCACATCGGATGATGTGCTATCGGCTGTCGATTCATTTTCATCTATCGGCACTCGACAGCAAAAAGATATTGAGAATGGTAATCTGGCAGATGTCTTTATGAAAACAAGCGATCTTTCGTGTGCGACATATTTGACCGATATGAAATGTGAATTGAAAGTGAATACGAAACTGGCAAACGAAAATAAATTCTTAAGTGTGCCCACAGGTACTTCTTTTGCGGAATTTACTCCTGAAAGTGCTCTCAATACAGTAGGATATCTGTATAATCAAGGCTTCATATACCCCTCTCAGCAGCAGGGATATACATACGATAAACAACAGCAAACCATCCTTACAGATATTGCCGATTATAATGAATCGCAGCATATAGATGACGCCTGCCCCATACCTGACTACACAGATCCGTACAAACGGTGCACTCAACTTTTACAAAGTAACTTTAAATGCAATACGCTTAGCGCGTACATACGTCTGAATAGTGCAAAGAAAGAACAGTGTACAAAACCTTCTAAACTGGCGCCGTTAAATTGCAAGGGAAATAATAACAATATAAGTGTTATAACATTAACTGAATTTCTACAAAAGTCCGTTATTATACCGCTAACCACTCACTTGGAGCTAATTAATAACGAAGTGATGCGAATGTGTCTGGAAGACTTACTTATTTTAGACCATTTTCGCAGTTTACGGAATTATTACTTTTTAATGGATGGAGAGTTCGGTGCCATAATTTGTGACGGCATTATTGGTAAATTGGAAGATGGCGCCTCACCCGAAATCCTTCTCAACTATCAGATGTTACATTCAATATTGGACAACGCCTTGGGTTCAAGTATAACAGGTACGTTGATGAAGATGCGAAGTCTTGTTGCTTTAAAAATGAATCACAAGTTTTGTAAAAACATGGACTTGATAAGATTCAGTGGCATCAAACACATCAATGGAAATAGAATAGGGATAGCGATTTTTTTTTTTTCTTTTTTCAAATCAATCAGTGCCTATTAGTTTCATTCTCTCTTCATTTTTTGGCAGGCAACGATAAAAATTCTGAAAATCTTTCATTTGTGATTAACGATGTGCCGCAAAGTTTTGATTTATTGTCACCGAACGTTTTAAATAACCTCTCGTTAAGTTATCGCGTTGATTGGCCATTAAATTTAATACTAAATCCAGAAACTATAGAACAATATGCTAAAATATTCAAATATTTAATACGAGTAAGACGGATAAGTTGGATATTGGAAAGAGCATACCAGATATTGCAGCAAACTGTTAAAAAACATGGCAATTGTATATTAAAAGCGCCACAATACCGTCATGTACAGTTGATCAGGCATAAATTCTATCATTTCGTGCACACTCTACAAAATCATATAACCGCGAATGCTTTGCAAGCGTCTTGGAAAACATTTAAAGATGAATTACTAGCTGCTAAGACCATTGAGGACATATATCGTAAACATGCCGTATATATAAAACGTATACTATTCCTGTGCATGCTAAATAAACGTAGTGCCGAGTTCTATAATACCATCGAGAATATCTTTAAAATTTCGTTGCGGTTTTACAAGTAAGTACAGAAGCGAAAAAGCGAGAAAGCGAGGAATAATGTTAGCAATAACAATGAACACGAAAACCTGATAATGCCGTAATAAACTAGTTTTTCTTTTCTTTAGCAATTTAAAAAGTCATGAATTTACACTAAGATCCGGTAGTGAACACTTTACCCATTCGCGGTATGACAGACTGATCAGCGATGAAATGGAATTTGATAAATTCATCAAATATACCATATATTTGGGCAATAAAATTGTACGTTACGGCTACCAAGCGGAGATAGGAGAATTCATTGGCCTGATCAATTACAATCAATACTATATGCAGAATACTTATTAGCGCGGCGTTCATTAACAAAAACTTACCTTTGCAAGTATTGTGACAAAAATCGCAAAAGTATTATTTCACTTTTATTATTATTATATTATATTATGTATTATAGAAATTAATTTGTTTTTTTAACTTAACTCTAAACTAACCATCTGCACGATTTCCTCATAATCATTTTCCGTTTTTGTTAAATGAAAAATTAAACGCTTGTTATTCATGGAATATTTTTTTAAATATGAACAGAAAGCGTTTTGTATGATTATTTCAATGAGAAGGTTCTTGCGTAATCTCGATTTATTTGTTGGTCAAATTATTGCATAAACTTTGTATATTTACCAAATTTCTTATAGAAATCGTGTAAAAACAGTAATGACTGACTCTCATATTAATAATTAACAAATCGAGGCTTTTCCCCTACATTTTTCCTTGAATTCTTTTTTCTTTTGCCTTTTTTTCTTATTAACTACTAAACCCTGCCTGGAAATGATGTAAAAAAAAAATTTGAAAAGCGATTGCCGACAACCGTCGTAGAGTCATAAAAGCAAGTATTTTGAATGCCGCGAATAGTCTGCACTTCACTACGGTATCTTCTTGGGAAAGAGTATTAAAATTGGAAATAATACTATGCTATGGTTTGAGCCGTAATACTGTAATTAAAAAATAAGGTTTTCCTCTTCATTATCAGATACAAATTATTTGCGATCTAATATGCTATTAAATCCATTGGAAGAGTTGTCAAAGTGACTAGCTTTACCGGGCATGGTGCAGTCTCCTGTCTTTCTTTCTTTTTTTTTTTTAATTTTTGAATTGAATTCTTGCTGTTATGCCTAAGAATTCTAAACAAAATTTTGAAAGCTTAGAATTTAAAAGGTTTCTGCTAGCAGAGTGCAATAATAAGCATCGAATGTCAGAAAATTGACTTTTGGCCATAGTGCCCTGGCACGTCAGCTATCAAGACGTACATTTGATGTCTTCGAAAGACGAGAATACGAAGAAGAATGCTACCGAACCGGTAGAGTCGATAGAAATCGATTTAGTTACATATTTAGAAATTCATCGTGGTCTCTTAGGGCGTAAAACAAACAAACCGAAACTGTCTGATCCGCGATGTAAGTGTGGACAAGCAAATGTAACTTAATGTAAAGTTGTTTCTCTTTTCTCCGTTTTTCCCGTTTCAGGGAAATAAGGAAACAGTCGCATCAGGAATTAAACCGACCTGCAGTTTAGGGCAGCATGTTTTCTTTGCAATATATTCAACCAATTATAATTTTATTGCAGTTTCGTTGATAGGCCGAGCTTACAGAATTTTCGACTGATTGCTGTTAGTATGTTTAAACAGTTAAACGATAGATAGTTTATAGTTGATCGAAACAACTTTGCTATAACTCAACAATTGATATGCTGTGCATTTCTTAAGATTGCTTACTATGTAGCCATCTGCATACGTGATTACAAATTAGGTGGCTTCTAAAGTTACTCCAAACTAAGTTATTAGTTAAATTAGATTAATGGTTAATTGGCTTAGCCATTGGTCATTATTAATTGCGGTATAGAGGTTATAATTGTTGACTTAAACTATGTTAATAATTATGCAACGCATCCATATATCAACTGCATAGAATATGGTTGCCTTGATATTAATGCCAATGAAGCGATAATTGTTAAAAATAAAGAAATTGGAGCAAGATAAAGACTTGGCCATAGTATAACAAAAGTTGAAAACTAAAACAAGGTTAGTCCTAAATGTTTTCATTATTTGCAGATTAATATTTACAAGCAAGGAGAAAATAATGCACTTTGAAAACAGGATAAACTAGTCTGCGCGACAATTATATATTGGGCATAAGTTAAGAGGACGGGGGACCCAAATAAAGCAAGAGCTTTATATAAAAAACTTCTTCCAACGGAGTCAAATACTAAATTAAAGATGCCTTCGGAACAAATATTTGAGTCGATGAAGAATCGCATTTTTCATTACAAGCTCAGATGAAGGCTATATAATGAATTTTGAGGATTTCAATTGCCATCGTACTGATTGCGTATAAGGAAAGTGAATTTTAATCTTGCAAAGAAAATTCAAATAGGATGAAATTATCCAAAATTGTCCCTATGTCCTATGTACACTATCATGATAGTAATGACTGACTTATTCATACTTATACCGTTATATAGTAATGTTGATGTAGCTATACATTCACATCTGTGAATATGCTCACAAAAATCATATATACAAAATTCACGATATTGAAGAATATAAATATATAATCATTGATAAGCGATGAAGCCAATAGTAGATGTCGTGCCTATTATAAAAATTACAATCAATAAATTGTACTAAAAAAAAATGATTGTCGCTTACCTTAAAATCGCTTTTTATCTTGAAAGTTCTCCCATAATATACTTATTAACTTTTTTAAGGATTTGCAGCGATTTTTTCCAATTTTATATTTTCTCATAAATTAGTCATTTTCTACACTTCTCGCTTCTTATCAAGGCATGACTAATAACGAATTAAGGAAGAATTGAAAGAATTTCTTTTTTATTTAATAAATTAAATGAATTTTTTTATTTATTTATCAGAACGAATACATAACAATGACAAAAATTAAACGAGGGAGGGGAAAATACATCAATTTTCTGACTTTTTCTTTAATTTTATCCACGCAAAATTAGTTTGTTATATCTTTTGTTTAAGTACAATTGTAAGAAAATTGGACATGCTAGGTCTCACTGTTTTTTTGTCGGATACATTTCAAACAAAACAATTACGTATTAAACTTCTTAATTAGTTTCTTTTTGTTTTTTCTGTGGTAGCGGTGCCGAAATAAGCTTGATAAATATATAAGGCCAGAGCTAAATGTAATGCCAGCACCGCGGCCACTGCTGAATAGATATTACTTGTTACTTCGGTCATTGTGAAAAGCCTATCCAAAAATACGGACTTCATACAAAAAAATATTAACACCGGCAAAAATACTATCAGTGAACAATAAAACAAGACGATCTTAAATGAGCTGTAGTCCTTCATATCGTTTGATAGTTGCTTAGTTACTTCTTTATTTGGTACATCCGTTGTGCTATTCAATTTGCTTTTATTAGCCATTTTATATTTAAATATATATTCAATTTCTGTTGTTATTTATGATTTCTCTCTTGGTTGAAAAATTCTAAGTTAATAAACTAACAAAAGATAACTTTAAAGGGTTTTTTTACAAAGACAGGGTAGTTAACGTTCAATTTTAAAGCGATTCAGAGAAAAGATATACACGTATATTAGGAATCTTAAAAACCTTTTACCTGCTGCTTACATATGCAATCAAATCAATTTTTTAAAGCCGGACAAAGGTAAAGTTTAAGAAAATTTGACCAAGTCTAAGGGACTTGCAAAATAATTGATTGATTATCAAGTGTCATTGATACCTTACAGGCGATGATGCGTTTTCGGGTTAATGAGTCCCAAGTAGAGTCCTGTGAGTGTGTAAGTCAAGCGACGTTTTCATTAGACTGCATTCCATGGTTTAACATGCCTGTTTTTACGTTAAACGTTCACTAGCATCTGAGGTCATGGAAAAGTCTACCACATTTGTGCTGTAAACCCATGACATTAATAAAAGTAAATTAAATTTTTGGTCGATTCATGGAATAACGCATGAAGACAAATGGCTTTAAAAGAAGAAGCATGGAGGGGATTTCACTGCTACAGTAAAACCAAACAAACCAATTGCTTAAATGTTTGGATTGGAAAAATATACTAGAAAATAAATCATCTTTATTGCTTGGTTTAAAGTACAAACTAAAATTTTAAATCGTATAACATGGAAAAGGTTTAAATTAGTTTAAAGAAATATTAAAATTTTAAATAAATTGTCTTTATTTCTTTTTGTGCGTTTTTGTTCTTTTCATTTCTTTTATACATGCTAAATGATTTGATTTGCTAATTCCCACAAAGCCTCGTAAAAAGTCAGCAGAGTTGAGGTCCCATCCCGAAAATGATGTTACGGTGTTAAGTCGTTTATGTCACGTTGTGTTGCATCAAATTCGTGGATGTTCTGATTTTTTAAACAATTCCTGAATTTCTTCCCATGATTTGCAATGCTTTCAGCCGATGCTATTGAATTATTTCAATAACTTTCTATCTGGTCCGATATCTAAATGGTCCGTTAGATAATGTTAAGTTTTTGTTTTGCCGACGGCTTTTGTTAATGTTTGTACGTGATCACTTACAACATTAAAATTGCTTTCATTGGATTATTGCAGTATTGCATGCAAATATTTGCAGAATCTTTATTTCGCTGTCCGCGTAGTGACATAAAGAATATTTTTGTATAATGCCGATATAAGTTGATTGATAACTTGAAATCGTCCTCTACTAAATATATGACGTGAAGAAAAGTTCATTTTAACTACTTAAGGAGGAATTCTTTGTGGTATTTTAAAGAAATTGATTTCTGTATGTCCTACGTCTATAATCCGCGAAAGAATCATTCTGTTCTTTTTTGATACAAAGGGAAAGCAACTTCAACATTCCTCAAACTACCTATACCTATATAGCACATAAAGTATGCGAGACTTCGGATAGGATCAAATCTATTGTTTTATAAAAATATTGCTTTATAATTAATTGTAGGTTATCGACATATTTCATTAACAAATTTTTTTTGTGTCGAAAATGACGAATGAACTAGGGAGATATTAGAGATGCAGTACAGGAGAACTGTATCCAATTCATTTTTTTATATGCTTTAACTTATTATGCCTCATATCTTTGGTGTCTTCTTCTAAACATGTCTAGGTTTCCGTTTATATATTGCATGCATACTAGTTTAGTTGATCTCTTTTTCTTCGTTTTGTTGTTTTGCGAGCTATTACGTGTTATAACGAAAAGAGTCTTGATTATATACTGCGACATCTTTTAATTGCGTGATTAATAAACCTTTGTTTATAGATTTTTTGTTTTCTTTTACTATTTTTAGTTTTCAATCACCAACACTGTAAATGTATTATTCTCTTCTTGGAATGAAGGGAGAAATATTGGAAGATTTTTCAAGAGAGAGAAAGAAGATTGAAAAGTTCTGAAACAATCACGAAATATTGCCCTAAACTTCGTTAAATATATAAAAATTTTTTATATATTTTACTTAAACAATTCTGATTTCTATAAAGGCATTAGTATTTTTCGAAAATTTCACGTATATTTTGTAAAATGACGAAATCTTGACATATATTAGTGAAAGAGAAAGCAGATAAGTAATCACTTATATACACTTTCCATTGCTTTCCAGCTCAGTAAGTACGGGAATTTTGAAAAAATTTCTCCTATTTTCAATAATAGCTATAAATACAAGAGTTGAGTTGACTTTGTTTTATACATCAGACAACTGTGAGCAGCGTAGTTTGTATTTGAAGTGAAAAAATTCAGGAAAAAACGATTGTATATTAAATAAAGTAATTTATTGGACAAAAAGTGTATTTTGAGAAAATAAAAGGAAAAGAAGAACGAACAAAAGCAATAAAAGATAAAGAAAATATATTTTCGTGTCTACAATAATTAAAAGGTAAGGCCTTGAGAAGACAATAGCTAAATTTTAAATTATTTTTCGTGTTCGAGAAGAGAGAAAAAAGCCAAGTAATTGCCATTATATAAATTTGAAAGTGAGAAATTAAGAATAAACGATTTATCAGGAAATTATTTGTTAATCGCTTTGACGAAGCTATAAACTTATAGTAATCTTTATGCTCAGTACGAATGTGTTTTGTTGTAAAATATTTTTTTCTTTGTTAACATTCCTTCAACGGAACTTTCTCGAACTGCAGTTATTTGAAAATTTTAAGTTGGCAACTCTGTTATTCACGGTGGCAAATTACTTTCATTTATTTCGCTTGGAAAACAAGAAAAGTGCTCATATGACGTTTTTAGGGTTATTTGAAAAACTGGGCGTTAACAATTTTTCTTCTTCGTAACATTTAGATTTTAGTCTCCTTCAAAATTTGTTAATACATATACATATTTTTTCCAATTTTTGGTAGATTTTAAAAAATGCAAATCTTCGTAAAAACATTAACTGGCAAAACTATCACTTTGGAAGTTGAACCGTCAGATACTATCGAAAATGTTAAAGCCAAGATTCAAGACAAGGAAGGTATTCCTCCAGACCAGCAACGTTTGATTTTTGCCGGCAAGCAACTGGAAGACGGACGCACCTTGTCCGATTATAATATTCAGAAGGAGTCAACCTTGCATTTGGTCCTACGTCT